TGGTGGTGGTTATGTGCCATGGAGTCGGTTCCGACTCATAGCGACTCTGTACAGGGTTTCCGAGGCTGTAACTCTTTACGGGAGCAGAAAGCCTCAAGGTGGTGTCCCCTAATAATAAGATTGCAACCACCCCTAATTGCCCTGGGACTGTTTCATTTTGAGCACTGAAAGTCTCTGGTCCTGAGACCAGGGCAGTTGGTCACCTCACCTAGTAAGGACATTTTGAGCATTTAGGTAAGATCAGGGTTCACATTTATCTCTTGCTTCACAGACAATTCTAGAGTGTCGAACTGATTGATCTCTGTTGGGATCTTGTCTTTGCTCCTAACTGTCAAGTTACTGAATTTCTCCAAGCCTCAGTTCCCTTCGTTATAACGTATAACATAAAGTAGGGAGATACATGTTGATGGGTGATAATACTGCCTGAGGCACTGTAGCACTGGACTACTAACTGTGAGGCTGGCAGTTCAAACCCACCAGTTGCTCCTCAGAAATCCTATAAAGGGTCACTATTAATCAGAACTGATTCAAGGGGACTTAACAACATCACAGGGTTGGTGTAAACATTAAATGAGATTATACAGGGAATCTCATTTAATATCTGTTGTTGTTGTTATTGTTGTGAAGTGCTGTCGAGTCGGTTCTGACTCATAACGACCCTGTATAGGGTCTTCAAGGAGCAGTTGGTGAGTTTGAACCACTGACCTTGTGGTTCAAACCGACCTTGCGGTCCAGTGCTTTATCCCACAGTGCCACACCAGGACAAGGAACCCAGGTGGTGCAATGGTTAAGCACTGGACTGCTAACCAAAAGGTCGGCAGTTAGAATCCACCTAGTGACTCCCTGGTATTGCAGTGGGTTAAGCGCTGGACTGCAAATGACAAGATCAAAGGTTCAAACCCACCAGCCCACCAACTGCTTCACCAGAGAAAAATAGGTTCATAAAGATTTCTAGTCTCAGAAACCCTATGGGGCAGTTCTACTCTGTCATATAGGGTTGCAATGAGTCAGAATGGACTCGATGTCCCATGAAAAGCAACACTGTAAACACGCAATAAATGTTAGCTATGAATCCAGGTTAGTTGTTACATAACACAAGAGTGAAAGGATGGTGTGCAAAACACATAACTTCCCCCAAATAGTTTAAAGGCACTGTTTCCATACCAACAAGCTGCAGGCTCATTATTGCTTTTGTTGTTGTCAGGTGCCCTTGGGTTGATTTGCAACTCCTAGTGACCCCATGTGACATGGAAGAACTGCCCCATAGGGCTTTCTACACTATAATCTTTTTATGAGAACAAATCTTTAGCTTTCTCCTGAAGAACAGCTAGGTGGGTTCAGACAGACAACCTTTGGTTAGCAGCCTAACCAAAAGTTAACCATTGTACCACTAAGATTCATTTGTGTATAGATAACACTGTCCACCTGGACTTGTACCAGGTTCTTTGAGTTCCTGCCTGTAGTGGAAACTGAGAAAACCACATTTGAACCTTAATAAGGGTTTTGCAGGACTAATGTGATGCTGTAGGATCAGCAGTAGACCGTGAACCACAAGGTTGGCAGTTCAAACCCACCAGCAAGCAGCTCCTAGGAAACCCCATACAGGATGGCTAGGAGTCAGAACCAACTCGACGGCATTTAACAAATAGCAAATATTAAAATTGTAAGATCTCTGCATCATATTACACCAACAATTAAAGCAGTCAGCCAAGTAAAAACAAAACAACACTGAATGCTGAAGAGAAATCAAGCAAGTGTAAAGCACAGCCTTACCACAAATTGCGGGACTCCTGGTGACACACTGGTGAAAACATTTGGCTGCTAACTGAAAGGTCAGCGATTTGAACCCCCCTCTCCCCATTTGCTCCATGGAGGAAAGATATGGCAGTCTGCTTGCATATAGATATACAGCCTTGAAAAACCTATGGGCCAGCTCTACTGAATCTTAGAGGGTCACTATGAGTCAGAAACAACTTGATAGCAACAGCTTTTGGTTTTTTGGTTTTTACTCTGAATTTGCTTACACTCTTGTACCTCAAAGAAACCAAGAGTTAAGCTGGGAGGCCAAGACAGGTAGGTCAAAGCAGACAAACCAGATATAAATCAAGAATGTGACCCGCCCTTCTACCCAGAGAATATAGGAATCCTTGCAGTAGGGGGATGGACGGCGGGAATTGGGAGGGTGGGGAGAGTAGTTTCTCCAAGATAAGAAATGGCCTTGAAAGTCGACAACTTAAAGGAGAAAGACGCCTCAACAGAAATTTAGACATCAAATAATTAAAAGCAGTAGAAGTAAAAATGATGGCTCAAATGTGATGTTGGAATCCCAGGGAATCAATGAAGTAAGAAAGACAGACTCCCACGTAGGCAAAGGCTGCCCAGCTCAGCCATCCAAGAGGTCCCATAATAACCAATACCAGTGGTCACCGGGTTTGTTAATTAGTATGTCCTTCAGGGCAAAACTTAAACCAAATTAAGGGTCCCCAGTGTAGAGGGTCCCAGTTGTCAAGGAAACTGAGAGCATGTTTTGTCCTTCTAGAATTATGAGGTTATTACTACCTCCCTGCCTCAAGGAACACTAGGGGCTTGCTAGTTTGCTCCTCAGCTACTTAGGACGCTGAGCTGCTTGGATCTCTGGAGGCTGGGTCTCAGCTATGACCCCCTCAACTGTTCTCCCTCCTCCCTGAATCAATGTCCTCAACTCACCATCCCCATCCCCATTGGCATTTCCAGGGTGTGCCAAGAGCCAACAGTCAATAAATAGGTGTCCAAGAAGTATGAGGAGTCCTGGTGTGGTGCTGTGGGCTAATACGTCAGACTGCAAAGCTGTTTGAACTGCAAGGTCGGTGGTTCAAGCTCACCAGCTGGAAACCTTGGAAACCCTATACAGGGTCGACTCGACGGCAATTAATAACAACAACAAGAAGTATGAGAGGCTTGATAAAGTTCCTGGGAAAATGGAATTGAAAGATAATGGAATTTAATTTTTCCATGAACTTTTTGGAGCCCCCTCATATCTGGCAGAAGCCCTGGTAGCTTAATGGGTTACACCTTGGGTTGCTAACCTCAAGGTCAGCAGTTCGAATCCACTAGTCGGTCCATGGGAGAAAGATGAAATTTCTGCTCCCATAAAGATCATTAACCTTGGATTTATGAAGATTTACAGCCTTGGTTGCTATGAGTTGGAACCAATTTGATGGCACACAGCAGCAGTTTAGATGACATCCAGGGAGCCCAGACAACCAGAAAACAGCCCAAGGCGAGACACATGTGAATACTTTGATCTCGGGCTCTCATCCTCACACCCCATTAACCCATGCCTGCTAGACCCAGAATCTAGGGACGTGCCCTTCTCACCGTTTCCCAAACTCTTCTGGATGGAGTTAAGAGAGAGCCAATTCAGGGACAGTTTTTTTTTTTTTTTTTCCTCAGTTGAAAGAATGCAAGTACTACATCGCTCCCACCTTCAGTCACTCACCAACAGAATGTGAACAGGATTGTTAGGAACCTGTTTTAAGAATTTCGCTCTGCAGGGTTCAGCGCCTGTGGTCTGAATCCACTTGTTAGTTATCTTTCACCAGAAGTGAAGATTCTTTCCTAACCTGTTCTCTTCACGGTCTGGTTTATTTTAGACCAGGCGATAAGTTGATGTCTGCAGTGAAATGATAGATAAGAACAGGCTTCGGTGTGTTTGTTGAAAAGGCCTGAGAACTACCACTGGTTATGATACTGCTAACCAAGTCCTGCATGCCCCAGTGTCTGGAACCCACTGGGGCTAAAAGCAGACAAGGAGGCCAGGGTGGATTCGCTTTGGGGCAAAGGGAGGCAAATCTGGTTTTAGCACTAAGTAAGGGTTACTCCTGTCTTTCTCGATTTTTTTTTTTTTGAAATTTGCTAATTGTGCAGCTCTGAAAAGCCATCCAAACACGTTGTGTTATTTGTTGTTGTTGTTAAGTGCCTCATAGCCACCCTGTATAGGGTTTTCAAGGAGCAGCTGGTGGATGGGGGTCTTGAATTTCTTATAGCGAGAACCACTTTGCCCTGACTGGGTACACCACCTGTCCATGTCCTAGAATCTCAGAGCTAGAAGGAACCTTTGAGAAACAGCAGTTCGGGTGAGAAAGAATAAAATCTACCTCTCCACACACATACACACTGGTGCCTTGTCCCCATTTCTCTAAGAACACTAAATGTCTGAGTTTCTTGAAGTCGCCTCATCTTGCTCTAAGTAGTTTTAGTTGTTCCTCAGAGAATAGTCTCCCCTCAGACTGGGGCACAGTGACCACCTTGGGTCTTCCCATTGTGTCTCCCCTCCCCTCTGTCTTCCCTGCCTTCCCAGCAGGATTTCTAGAAAGTCTGATCCACAGTAGACTTCCATCTGTGATAACAGGGATTCTTCCAGCCCTCCTGCCACACTCAGTTCTTGGGGTGCTCAAAGAGACCCCAGGAGGCTCTCCTGGGATTGCTTTTAGCCACCATTTGAAATTCCAGGCTGTGGTCCATGAAGGGGGGGGAGGGTCCCTCCCATCCAGGGTCTCAAAAAAGTCTCACAGATCTCTGATTTTTCATATTCTCCATCTTTCCCGACACCACTAGCAGTTTTGCTTGCCCTAATTGTCAGTCCCGGCCACTCAGTAAATTTAAAAGCCCTTGCAAGTTTCAATCCAAATTGGCACATTTTCTATTTGGGTTTTTGAAAGGCAAAATCTCCAAAGTGGTTAAGAACACTGTATGCCTTGAGGAAACGGTATGACCAGCGACCCCCAAACCACTTACGGGGGTCTACCCACCTTCTGGGCCTCAGTATACTCCCCTGCAGGAAGGCCTCTGCAGGTACCCTTAAGAGTAGGGATGGCACCTGTCAGGTCCCCTTACAGTTTCACAGAATCCAGCCATGGCAACCTGGGAACAGATCTCTCCAGCGCCCTTTGCCCGGTCCAGTAGAGGCTGGAGTGGGGTGGAGACCGCGTGCCCCCCACCCCGTGTGCCCAGCCACTCACCTGTGGAAGAAGAGCAGGATGGAGAGCATTGTCTGGTCGATGTTCCGGTTGCAGATACCCTCGTTGATCAGGTAGCAGGGGTCCCGCAGCACCGGTTCTAGTGAATCTTGCCGCATTATGTTGTTAAGCTTGTCGGTGTTGAGGTTCTCAAAGATCAGCTTTTCCTGCAGCTGCCGAAAGTTGCTTACGGTGGGACTACCCGAGTTGTTGTTTCCCCCGTTGCTCTCCTGCTGCAGTCCGCTCCGGTGGGCCAGGTCTAGACAGCAGTTGCAGCAATCGAGGCCGACAGGTGAGCGGCAGTCGGTCTTGGACTGGGCCATTTTCTCTGGCTCAGGGGTCGCCTGGTCTGTAGGGTCAGGAGCGGCTGGCAGGTGCGCGCCCTCCGGGTTAGACTCAGGGGACTCCAGGGTGCCTGGAAAAGACAAGCTGTGAGAAGAGTTGGCAATTACCGCCTAAGCAGGCCACCCTCTACTAGGGCCCCCTTCTGGCTGCGCTGCCCCGGGTGCGAATAGAAACAGCTGGACAAACAGCTCGGAGCGGATCCGTCTTCGGGCTCACTTCCTCCTTCTCCTCCCCCTCTTCTGAGGCTGGGGCCGCCCCCCTGAGGTGCCATACCGGGGCTCCAGAGAGTCCCAAGTTTCCCAAGTGTGAGCGGGACTCAGGGCGGACCTGTGGCGGCAGGAAAGGCGGGCAACAGGGCGCCCTCTCTCGCTCTCTCCCTCCCTCCTGGGCTCCCTCCTTCAGCGGCTCTCGGGCTCCGCGGGACTGCCGGCTGAGAGGTGGCAGGAGCTGAGCACGAGTGAGCCAGGGAGCGAGCAGCACGCCCTGGAGTCAGCGCCTGGCACTGACAGCATGTAAATGACTCCGGCGCGGCCAGCCTCCCTCAACGGACGTCGGCCCCCGCCCCTCGCCGCCCGCACCCACACGGCCTGCGCTCGCACCCTCGCCTGCACTCTGGGGAGCCCTGCGGGCTCGCCCTCCCTCCGCGAGCCGGGCGTCCCGGCCCAGGCGCCCTTGGCTGTCTGGGCGCATCCTCAGATGCGGGTCTGGCCACAACACAGCCCGAGGCGCCTGATCGCAGAGGGAGGGAAAAATGTTCCTCGTGCCGCGGCAGGGTCCCCCTACAGGAGAGACGCTGCCGTGGAGAACCGGTTGGGACACAGTTTTTAGCGCCCCTCCCTAAGCCAGTTGTCCTAGAGGGGAGTCTGAGAGCGCCAGGCACATATCAGGAATATCCAATAAATGCCTTAAGCCAAACTTACTAAGGCTCAAGTTTCCTCAGTCCCTGTTTAGTACTTCACTTATTTTCAACCCTCTTCCCTGAGATCTCGGTTCGAGCTTCCGGAAATGCCAGCTCCTAGCAGGCGTCGCTCCACTCAGCCCTTTCTCCCCCTCTGGTCTTTTCTCTTCTCAACAACCCACCCCCCCTTCTCCCGTTCTTTCTCTCATTCCCTCCCTGTTTAGTTTATCCCCTTTACCCAAGTCATCTATTTTCTCCCTCGTTTCTTCTCTTCCCCCTTCCCGTTACTCCCCCTTCTATCGTTATTTTCTTATTTTCTCTATTTCCACATTTACCACGTTCCTCTCCCTCCTCCCTCCATTTACGCGTTTGCCTTTCATCTCTCTGATTTTATTTTCCTCTGGCTTCCCTCAGGCCAGCCGTCATTAGGTCGGTCTGGCGTCTTCCTCAGTTTTGTCTTTCTCCTCACTTCACTTATCCTCCCCCAATTTTTTTCTTCACGCTCTTCTCTAAACCCCACCTGCCTTCTTAGGTTATCTTGGTCTTTACCTTTTCAAGAGATGTGATGGGACACTTGGGGAAAAAGTAGAAAGGTGTCCTAAAACTGAGAGCTGAGAAGTTGTGAACTCTGAGGCACTGATATACTAGAGCGGGAGGTTGGGTGAATGCAGGGATCGGAACAACTCTGAACAGGTTGGTGCCCCGGGTCATACCTCAGGTTTGTGAAGTGTAGGGATGTAGTGGGTGGGCAAGTGGTAGACTTTTTTGGTATCTTTGCTCTTGGAAACTTGAAATACTTTATATGTGCAGGGTGAAGTAGTTATAGATTCCTGAAATTTTTTTAAACGATTAATTGTGCTCAGTTTTCACACAAACTCAAGTAGATTTCGGTCTTAGTCAGCAGACGGTCCCCACCCCCACCCCTTTTCTCTTGCATAATTCACCAGTCCACGGCCCTTGAATCGAACGGTGTATACTGCCATCTTGTGTCCACGACTGAACAATTTTTGTTTAGGTCACCGCTCAGAACTTTGGGAGGTAACAGAGGTGCCTCCTAGTGGAATCCCAATGTCATGGGGTTCTGAGACTAGGAGGGAAGTGGCTGAGGTGTAAACCTGTATTATTAGCCAGTCAGAGTCAAGAGTCTAGCGGAGCTCCAGGTAGCTTGAACCCCTGTAGATTGGTTTCCATAGATATGAAAATTGATACGCCCTGGGGTCTCGGTAAAGAACTTGACTGCTAAACGAAAGATCAGCAGTTTGAACCCACCAGCCAGTCCATGGAAAAGAAAGATGTGGCAATCTAATCCCATAAAGATTTACAGCCTTGGAGACCTTATGGGCCAGTTCTACTATGTTCTATAGGGTCGCTATGAGTCCGAATCGACTTGATAGCACACACCATCACCAACAGATAAGCAATTTCCTTCCAGTGCCACGAGCATCAGCCCTGTTTCCTAGGAATAAGGGTTTACGACAGATTTCTCTTCTCCAGACCCTGTGGGTCTTATATGTTGCTGTTTTTGTTGTTAAGTGCCATGGAATCTCTGTTTCAACTCATGTTGTTGTTGTTAAGTGCTGTCGAGTGGGTTGCGACCCATGGCGACCCTGTATAGGGTTTCCGAGGAGCAGCTTGTGAGCTTGAACTGCCGACTTTGCAGTTCAAACGGCTTTGCAATCTGGCGCATTAACCCACAGCGCCACACCAGGACTCCGTTTCACCTTATACCCAATATATTGTTGTTGTTGATGTGTGCCGTAGAGTCGGTTCCGACTCATAGCGACCCTGTACAGGGTTTCCGAGGCTGTAAATCTTTACGGGAGCAGAAAGCCTCATCTTTCTCCCGCGGAACAGCTGGTAGTTTCAAACTGTTGAGCTTGTGGCTCGCAACCCGATTCGTAACCACTATGCTACCAGAGCTCCTTATACCCAATATAGGGTCACTATAAGTTTCAGCTTGTAGTGATCCTATATTGGGTTTCTGAGGCTGTAAATCTTTAGGGGAGCAGAAAGTCTTATCGTTCTCCCATGGAGCAGCCGGTGGTTTTGAACCGCCGACCTTGTGGTTTGCAGTCCAGTGACTATTGTGCAGAACCACGGTGCCCCTGTAGGTCTTATATGTTGTTGTTAAGTGCTGTCGAGTCGGTTCCACATCATAGTGACTCTGTTTAGGGTCTCCAACGAGGGCTGGTGCATTTGAACCACTGACCTTGTGTTCAGTGCTGTATCCCACAGCGTCACACCAGGATATGGGGGCCCAAAATTTGCAGAAATTGAGGGGTCAGCATTCTGCCGTAGTGGACAGAAAATCAGAGACAAGCTATGTCCCTGGTTCTTGAGGTCACTGACCAAAGCAGCAGAACTGAGAACACGGCTGGCTCCTGTGTCTGCCTTCATCAGACTACTGAACATTGGTTACTCTATCAATCTCCTGGCCCGCAGAGGTTTTCCTTTCTTTCCTTCTGGGTCTTCTGTCTCCTCCTTTGTCTTCATCTTCTTTTCAATATTTCTGGGTAAAAGCCAGAGGAGGTCATAGAATATGAAAACTTAGATGAATTGTGTAGCTTTATGACCTATTAAATTGGGTTTTAATTGCCGTATTTATGATTTTCTTGTGTAAAATTCTTTTATGTTGAATGCAATGACAGTAAAATAGTGTTAGATTCAAAGATGTTTAAGTTGTCTATGAAGGACTGGTGGGACCTTTTGCTTCATACTTGCCTGAGTCCTCTTATCTTTGCGTATAACCTTGGGACAGGGCCCTTGGGTGCAGTATTTCCTTCTTGGCATTTAGCACCACTAAATTCAAGATTTTGTCCCCTTGACATTTCTCTGGTTGTAGTCCTTGCTCTCCAGCAATATTGTTAATAATTCAGGACAGCTTTGCATACTATATACAGACTGATCAAGAGCAAATATAATTTAGATATAGAAAAATCTAGATAGTTCAGAAAGCTGTTTGGTATTTGCATACAAGTCCAGCTTGTATTGACATATAGCATACCTCTGCAGGAAGTCTGACTGGGCAAGGCCTCTTTGGCCCCCCTCTATGAAACCTTACTTTGCTGCTTTGCTTTGTATTGAATGGAGAGACTCCAAGTAGCAAAACGTTCTTGCATAAACCCAGAGAGCAGAGGGAGGCCCACTTCTGGACAGATCTGGCGTCTTTCTGGGTGGAGCAGAAGGGAAATAAGGCACTCCTTCGTTCTCAGAGGGATTCATTCTACTTTACATTTGCCCTGTGTCAGTTATGGCGCTCTTGGGAATTCAGAGGTAAGTAAGACACAGTCCAAGCCCCCAAAGAACTCATGGCCTAGCTGGAGAGACAAATATGTAAAGAGACACAGTATAAGTGGTTAAGTGAGGCTCGATCTAGGTCGTGTGTGTGTGTGTGTGTGTGTGTGTGTGTATACACGTGTGCACTTTGACACTCACACACTTTTCAAGTTTGCTTTGGAAAGAGGGAAGGACAATCTGGATAGATAGAATAGGGACGAGGGGGTGTGGAGTACAAAGCAGTTCATTGTTAGTGGAGAACAAAATGTGAGAGATGGCGTTGTGAAAATTAAAGCTAGGACCCTGTGAGAAACATTAAAGAAATAGCTCTACTTCACATGTTTGCCATGCATTTAACAATTATTAAGAAGACGAAAAATGGATACCATTTATGGAGTCCCTGCTAAGTGCCAGGCACTTTACATATATTATCTCATTTAATCTCCACAACAACACTATGAAGTAGATATTATGATTCCCATGATGGGGTGGGCTTGAAAAAGTTAAAGAAGCTTTTGGGGATCACATGACTAGCAAGTGGCAGGGTTGCATTTGAATCCACAGCTTTCTGACTTCAAGCATGTACTTTTAACCATTGTTGTTGTTGTTAAATGCCGTCAAGTCGATTCCAACCCATAGCGACTCTGTATAGGGTTTCCAAGGAGCGACTGGTTAGCTTGAACCATCGACCTAGCAGTTCAAAACCATCGACCTTGCAGTCTGGCACTGTGGATTTTTTGTTGTTTTTTTAAAAAACAGTTTTTATTGTGAATTGAGTGATAGTTTACATGGGAGAACATTGGTTTTACACTCATCTTTTCATTGCAATAATTACATTCTCTTCCGTGCATCATCATTCAACAGTATTTGCTTCTATTCCCTCTGTTTTGGGGTTTTTTTGTGGGGTGTGTGTACACAAAAACACTCAGGAATATATAATAATTAAAACAACCACAGGGCACATTCTGAAAGCCTGCCTCCTGGCGGCAAGCACACAGTCTCTCTTTCCATGAGTCTAGAGTCCTCAGCTGCTCTATCTCTCATCTCTGCCTCCATCTCTGGTGTCGCGGCTTCTCTGGATAGGGTCCCACATTCCACTCGTGCTCTTCTCCCTTGATGGTCCTTGGGTCCTCTGTTCCTGGATTGTAAGATCAACTACTCCCCCGTTTTTGTTATAAAACTTCTATCTCTACAGTTGTGACAGTCGCAATTAGTCATGATAACAGTTACTCAGTATTGAATCATAAGAATCTTATCCCCATCTCTTTTCACCAGACCCATCTAGACAAGATGAAAACTATTCAGTGGG